AAACAACATAGATGCATAATTTATATACATACACTGAAAACACTTTAATAAACACACAATAAATTGAAAAAAAAATCATTAAATTTCACAAAAGCTTAATTTTTTAACATACAATTTTAGCTCTTTTAAAGGTTGTCACATATAATAACTTTTAAGGTGTCTAAACTTTTCAAACATTTTTCACTTCCACAAATTAGACATTCTTACATTAAAATAGTTGTATTTGTTGTCTCTCTGCTTTCGGCGTTAATCCCTCAGAGCTGAGTTCACAAACCCAAATTGACTCTCATTATATTAAAATTATTTGAAACATTGTAAAATAACATTTTTTAAAACTTTTTATAGTCCAAAAAACACAGGATTCAGTTTCTCAGTGACTGAGCTCCAGCCTAAATTTCTGCCTGTCTTATTAGTTCTGTCAGGCCAACACCATTCTCACTCCCAAGTCATCACATATTGATGYTTTTCCAAAGTTCCCTCYGCGTCTTATTTTGAYGCGTCAGGCACACCGTCGCGTTAGTTAATGACGCACCAGGGGTCAGATTTATAAAACTGGCGTACRCACAATTTGAGCCCAGAAACTTGTGTACGCCACTTTTCACGCCRAGGTTGTGATTTATAAAGGAAAGATGCACAGAAACGTGCGTATGCACGGTTTCATAAATGTGAAATTTTTTTTGGCGTACGCCATTTCCGCCTTTTGGCTGTACGTTCACTTTTAGTAAGGTTTCCACGCAATCCTTTATAAATGAGACCCCAGGCATTTCAGTGTTCCCTCGGTGTCCAGGTTTGACGAATTGGGACGCAAAATCTAGGAGTCTTTGAGTTGGGATCCGTGGGATCAGGGATTAGGGATCAGGGTTACTAGTTAATTTTAGTTAGTGGGGTCAGGGATAGGATGTCTACGGCGATTGGGTCATTTTAGGCTTTGGAACACGTAGTTGACGTGAATTTCCTACATTTTCTAAAAATGGTTAATTTTAGGGATCAGGGTTGATGGTTAATTTTAGGTACTAGGGTCAGGGACAGGATGTCTAGAGTGAATAAAGGTAATTTTAGACTTTGGGACGATAGTTTTTGTGCATTTTCTACACTTTCTGAAATCATGACAACAGATTTCGCCCCATCTCATTAAAAGTAAACGCAGAGGGAACCTTGCAAAGCGTCAATATGTGACGGCTGAGGAGTGAGAATGTGTTAACCAGGGAGTGACAGACACAAAAGTGTGGTGCCACTTTTCGAGAACAAAGCTGATGTCGGAATGTTAAATCTTCTTTTTCTGTTTATTGAATAAATAAAGCACCTGTAGGTGCAGGTTGAATAAATAAAGCACCTGTAGGTGCAGGCTGGATAAATAAAGCACCTGTAGGTGCAGGTTGAATAAATAAAGCACCTGTAGGTGCAGGCTGGATAAATAAAGCACCTGTAGGTGCAGGCTGGATAAATAAAGCACCTGTAGGTGCAGGCTGAATAAATAAAGCACCTGTAGGTGCAGGCTGAATAAATAAAGCACCTGTAGGTGCAGGCTGAATAAATAAAGCACCTGTAG